GTGCTTACACACACACACACACACACACACACACACACACACACACTTCACCAGTTTAACTAATAATATAACTGAAACTATTGCCATTTTTCCATGTATAAAAGGTGCAACAGACAGACATGAGATGAATGAAGAATAGCGCTAAAGCACTGGGTGACTGAGAGCTGGATTTCTCTCGCAGAAACACAGCATTTGCAACCAAAATATGAGTCCTTGTGTAGGTAAGTTATGTAAGAACATAAGTCAGATCAATGGTCCATCTATTCCAAATTCCCATCTTTGACAGTGGCAAGGAGAAGATGCTTTGGAGACAGAGTATATGAACAGCGCAGCCCCAGAGTAATCCACCCCTGTCATACTCTGCCTTGTATTAACCATCATTGGTTTAGGGATGTCAGAGGACATATACCTGACATGTCCTTGGTTCAGTTCTGTACAATAGTTCCCAGTGGACCTGTCCTTCTTAACTCCGTCTAATAAAATTCCTTTTTGAACTTGGTTATGCTATCTGCTGCTTCAACCTCCTATGACAACAATTTCCAAAAGCTGACTATATGCTATATTAAAAAAAGTACTACTACTTTGTTTTAAACCTGGCTCCTGGTTATTTCAATGGGAGCCTCCTTAGTTCTTGTATATGATTTAGTGAATTACAGTTCCTCATCTAGTTTATTGATGCCCTTCATGATTTTATAGACTTCTGTCATAGTCCCCCTCAACCTTCTCTTGTCCAGACTGAAGAGTCCTAGCCTTTTTAGTCACTCCTGAGTCCTGACAATGACTCCATACTTCTGATTATCTCTGTTGCATAGAAGGAGGGTTGTGCAAAAAAAGAGTTCTTGAAAAGAGGCTGTTAGTTCTGCCTCAGGGAGACTGTTTGAGATAGGTAGAGAAGCACAGAAAAATATAGAAGCTCTTTAGATATGTAGTCATCATAAAATGAAGGCAAAATAATATTGGATAATAGTACAAAGGCAGCACTAAACAAACAGTTACAATTGCATTAATATTACTGATAGAAGATCATTTGTGTTGGTGTTCTTTTTTACACCTTTATTTTCTTCTTTTCCTTCCTTAGAAAGGGGTGTCTAGCTAATCCTTGTTGCTTTAAATGACACTAACCTTTAATCAAAAGGATGGTTTCTGTAATCTCAGTCCCCGTAGTCCCATTTTAGACATCTAAGGGCGTGTCTACACATGGCCATACAGTGCGTTGCTTTAGTACTGCCTTTTGGAAGTACGAAAGCACAGTAACCACCCATACTGCTCAGTGCGTGGCACAGAGTTAGATATTGCTGCTATGTCACTGTAGCAGTGTGCTAAAATGGGGGAACGTGCTGCTACAGCAACATAGCTGCCAATCACGTGTAGATCCACATGATTACTACATCATCATAGCACGCTGTATGGTGCTGTAGTGCATTGCTGCATCACCATAGAGCGATGTATAGATGTGCCCTAAGGGTTCTTCTGTACCACTTCTTCAGAGCTTCTGAGAATGTTGTAGAAAAGTATACACCATCCAGCCACTCTCGTTCTAAATGAGAAAACTCTGAGGCAGGGAAATTGATCTGGGGGTCCCCCACCATCACCCAATTACACAGAATAGAAATGTTGCCCAATGTGTCAGGCTGCCTACCGGCGTGGTAAAATCCACGTAGGGACCAGAAAATTCCACCAAGTACTCTTTGAGCAAGCTAACAGTGTTATGGTAGATGGTAGATACTTCACATTCTGATAGAGCAGGTAGAGCTTTGCGCTATGTCTGGTCTGTAAAATTGTTGATGGATGTTTTCCATCAGAAAATGTAGTCTTACTGAAAAATAACAGTGAACTGAAAATTTGTTTTGAAACAAAACTTTAATCTGAAAAGTTAATATTTTTATATTTTATGATATGGCAATAGCTGTATCATATAATGTATCAGGTCATGTCATATTAGCCATAGATTCATAGATTATAAGTCCACAATCATAGAAAGAAGGACTGGAAGGAACCTCAAGAAGTTATCTAGTATAGGGGTGTCGAAGACAGCCCCTGGGCCACAACTGACCCACAGAATCCTAGCAGCGGCCCATAGTGCTACCCATGGGTCTCAGCCTGGACTTGCATGCCATATTTGGTACATACTGAACCAGCTCCATGCACTGCACACAGCATATGGGACTGGATCTGATGTATGCTGCATGCGGCATGCAGGGCCAGATCCAATGTATGGTGCATGTGACACATGGTGCCCACACTAGACCAGCCCTGCATGCTGCATATGGCTCATGGGGCTTGCTTACAGCCTGGATCCAGCCTATGGACTGGCCCTGTGCTATTCATCTGGCCTGTGATCCAGTTCTGTGCTACTACTGTAGGGTCTGATAAGTTTGACACCCCTGATCTGGTCCATCTTCCTTCTCCAAAAGTAGAATCAGCTATACCCCATCCACATTCAGTTAATCTGATCTTAAAAGCCTCCAGCAGTGGAGATTCCACAATCTCCTAAGGTAAATTATTCCAGCTGTTAGCTATCCTTACAACTATTAAACTTTTCCTGGTATCCAACCTAAATCTCCCTTGTTGCAATTTAAAATTAAGAGGATACCTTTTTGTTTATCTAGTCTGCCTCCATAATAGCTGAGGCAGCATTAAATTCTCAAATAGCACTTCAGTTCTGGAGAGGTTTCTTCTTCCTTCTTGCTTGGCATCAAGAGGAGCTTCAGCAAAACAAGCCCCCAGTATAGCATTTAAAGTTACAATAGAGATAATCAAAGTAAGAAGGCATGAGGTGGCATGTTTACATGCTCATTAATGCACAGTAATTACAGCACATTTAGTTTAGGACTTGCTTAATGAAGTACTAAGTAAATGTGCAGTGACTAGAGTTACTGCACACTAGCACTGACGCACAGTTTTTTTGTGACGTTTACTGAGCAGTAGCATAATACTACTGCACAGCAGTGTATTAGCGCAGTTTTTGCTCGGCACACTGTTGGGCAGTGTTATTAGCCTACTGCTCATAAATCATCTTGTGTAGATGTGCCCACTGATACTCAGTTTGTGCCTGAAAAGTCAGAGAGAAAAGACCAAATACACTGGGATGGAGACCTAGCAGTGAGCTTTGGTTCTGGGCAGGGGGAAATGCATTATGCATAGTAAAAATGCAAGGGTCTTGACTCTCATCTCCAAGTGCCAACAGAAATACTGCAGTCAGCTGTTTCAGTTTTTCTGTGTTCCTATGCCTTTGTCTTCTATCAAATCATAAAACTTGATGTTACAGAGCAAGATGGACATTGTTTGCATGCTACCCATCTAAATTAGGATGGAGTATGCTGATGACTACTCTAGGGAGAGATGCAACTCTAAACACCTGAGCCATTTATCCACTTTTTAAGTCAGCTTCAGTAGTAGGCTTTGTAAGCATCTAAGTAGAATACTGGCTGCTCAAGCAATGTTTTCACTATTGTATGAATTCACCTCTTGAAATATATAGATAGCATTAAGAAGGACTTTATGCAGTTTGAGAGTAAATTATGCACATTATTGTTTTAAACAGGAAAAACAATATTAAAAAGCTTCAGAAAACACATGAATGGAAACTATCCTACCTCTCAATAAATACATTCTGATACAGAAGGGAAAGATGGTTCTGTACTTAAATAACATAGGCCTGAACCGTAGTAGCCCATTAAAACTTGCTCAGGCATTTGCACCAGGGGGTACAAAATGCTACTAAATCAGAATGTCAGCAATATATACTCGCTTTGCACTAGCATAAATCAGTAGCCACTGTGTAAGGCAACAGAGAACTTGGTCCATATCATGTGAAATATTTGGGGAAGAAAACTTCACTATCAATATAAAGTATTAATACAATGTACTCGCACAGTGTATATGAAGACAACTGTTTCAGTGGTACCTTTATTTGTAATCTATCATCTCTCTATAATATTTATTGAGTTTTGAAGATAACAATGATTTGATATTCAAACATCTGCCAGGAAACTAATTTAGCCTTTTAACAGTGAATGGTAAAAACCTCAGCTTAAAAAGGGAAATGTTAGCACTCATTTACTTAGTGCCTAGTTGTTTAATGGCAAATTTCTGTAAAACTGTGAACAGCAATATTTTAATTCATGACATACTGAATAGAATTCTACTTTCCTGTGTTCACAGGACGACTTTATAAAAATCAAATGAAAACTAGGGGCTTTGGTCAAAGGAAATTAGATTAGAATCATAGAAAAGCAGAGCTGGAAAGGACGTCAGGAGTTCATCTAGTCCAAGCCTCTGCTCAGGTCAGGATCCTTCTCAACTAAACCATCTCATCCAACTGTTTATTTAACCTAAAAAACTTACAAGGATAGAGGTTCCATATACTCCAGGGACATTTTACACAAGATTCAAGCTAGTTGCATTGATGGATGGCTGTTCATTTGTGTCCACCTCTTTTTCATCCTGGTGTAAACATGCTCTATCTCTAAGCCCCTAGGGATGAGTGGATTTTGGTGGCCTAAGTTAAATGCAATTACATTCTGGTGCGTCTAACTTAGACTCTATATAGGCATAAGCACACTCTTATGGGGTTTTTTGTTTAGCTTTCTTCTTTCCTCCTGTAACAAAAATACATTGAAAAAACCCTAAGTGAACTGAAGATAAAGCAATAATATACCCTACTTTTGTGGAACATTAAAGTTCCAGTGGTTTTCCAGATATGCAAAGGCTGCTAAGCAGGTTGATTGAAGCAAGTATCCTTCAAAATACCTACAGTTAATGGGTACTTCTAGGTTTTGTTTGTTTTTAGCAGAATTACAGGAGCATTAAGCCAAATGGTAAAGACTGGTCTTTCAGGCTGGGATTCTCAGAGGGGATGAAAGAAATTGTCTGCATAATTCCCTGAATGTACCTTGAAAACCCCAACTGTTAACCTTTTTAACAGTAATAGTTGCTGTCCAGTTTCAGGGTGCCATTTCATACACAGTAAGCTTATTCCACAATTTTAAGATGGATATTTTTGTTTCTGGGTTTCTCTGAGGTAGGAGGGGAACTAGACTGATACCTAAAAAGAAACTGTCTTGCAATTTCCTCCCAAAAAATCACTAGATCACTAGTAATACAAGGCACCTTATTCTCTTAGGACGGGGTGGGCAAAATATGGCCCACAGGCCAGATCCTGCCTGCCAAGGGAGTTTGTCTAGCCTGCAGCAGGCTCCTCAGTTCTTCCTGGCCCAGGCGTGGGGGGCAGCCCAGGCTGTGGTGCATGTGATTAGTCCTGCTGCCCCTGATCATGCAGCACGGCTGTGGTGGCATGGCAGCTGGACTCACTTCCCAGGAGCCCCAGCGGTGGCAGCTCCTTCTGGCTGCTGCAACTGCTGGACCTGGCCTCACTGCCGAGGCATCCTGACCCATCTGACCCACATCCACCGCCAGGGGTGGGGCCTACACAAGCAGGGTGTGCGCCCAGGTGGAAAGGATGGGGCTGCAGGTGGGTAGAGAGCTGTGTCTGGGAGCGAGGTGGGTGGGAAGGGTCAGGATCATGGGGGAGGATTTCAGGGTGGCGACAGCAGAGGTCCAGGGCTCAGGGCAGAGCTGCAATCCTGCCTGCACATCCCTGTGATGCAGGGGTGGGCAAAATGCGGCCTACAGGCCAGATGCGGCCTGCCAAGCCATTCTATCC